TTTTAACCAATATTATTTTCTCAAAAAATGAGCCCCAGAATGTATTACTTGTTTTTGCCTAAACCTCTTAGTTTCGGAGATTCCCTATTCGCACATCCAAAATGCAGCACCCTGTACATTGTCAAATTATATACGCAACATCGATAGTAGCTATGGATTTCATGACAAACTCTTCCAACTACTCAAAGAAAAGACAAGCTAAATGCAAGTATATGAGCGCCACGGGACTCTGATGGTTGATGAATGCAAAATATATAACAGCAAGCAAGCACTTTGACAAAAACAAGCTTGAAGTAATGGGTTTTGTGGATTTAGGACAATATACTCCAGCAACTCAGAAAGACCAGTTAGGCGATCATGTTTTGGTCTTAATGTTTCAGTCATCTGCAGGACATAATATGCAAGCCCTTGCTTGTTTTCTGTCAAAAGGAAGTGTTTTGGGCACTGTGCAGACAAAGCTATTTTTAGAAGCCATTTTACTATGCGAATCTGCTGGTCTTTTTGTTGACGTAGTTACGTCGGATGGAGCCACATGGAATAGAGCGATGTGGAAAGTATTCAATGCAGGAAATTCAACAACTCCTTGGTGTGAACATCCTTGCAATAAAGACAGAAAACTAAGAATGTGCTCAGATTTTCCACACCTGTTTAAATGTTTAAGAAACAGGCTCGTTTCGCAGAAAGAATTTCATGTACCAGAAGGGCGTGTGTAGTTAGTTCACTTTGAACGCTTAATGGAGTATGACGCAAAAAACGAATTTACGTTGGCACACAAACTCACTAAGAAGCATGTACATCCTGAACACCATGAAAAAATGACAACGCGCCAAGTTTTTCAACTCTTCAGTGCAACTGTTGCAGATGCGATGGAGTTTTTAAAAAACAAGAATGTAGTCGGATTTACGGATGCAGAACCTACTATTCAATTTTGCATACGACACAATCAACTTTCTGATGTCTTAAATGCAAATAATGCATTTAAGGCTGGCTCTGAGGGTCAGTTCTGCTGAACAAAAAGTTTTGGAAGACTTTCTCATTTACCTGAATCTTTCTTTGGGAGTCATGCTCAGAACAAAATTTCTTCCTAACAAGTTCAACAGCAGAAGGGTTTAGAGCTACTATTAACACGACATTAGATTTACTGAAATATTGCACTGACAAATTGGGTTTTAAATATTTAATGACTACTCGTATAAACCAAGACCCATTAGAACATTTTTTTGGTTTATTGAGGGCAAGCGGAGGTGCCAACAATAATGCAGAATCGTTGCAGATTGCACAACTGTTTCGTTTATTGTCACTTTATTCTTTCGTCAAACCACCACGAGGGAGCAATGCATCAGGTGGTAACATGTTAGATGCCTTAGTTACTGGCCCTTCCAATGTGGTGACTAATAAAAACAAAACGACAAAGGCAGAGATTGATTCGATGCTAGATTCTGCACTTGAAACAGATTTTGCCACTTCATCTGCAGCATCTTATTCATTCTGTGATAATGAAGAAGCATTTGCTTACGTTTGCGGCTCTATAGCATGACGGCATAAAAAAGAACAATGCACACGTTGTGTTGAGGCACTTGTTGGTGATGGACTCGAATCCTACAACACATATATAATTTTAAGAAGCCGAGGTTACTTAACATTCCCATCTAGGGATCTTGTAATTTTAATTCAAAGTGTAGATGCAATGATTTTTGATTATTTGAAGCAAAACATAAAAAGAAATACATTTTTTGATATTGTTGAAAAACTAAGAGATATAAAAATTCGGACATTTGTGGGATGTGCAAAACATCATCTACAATTTACAAAAAAAAATATTTTTTCTTTTCTGGTTACACGGATGATTTTTTCGTGCCAAAAAGAAGCCAGGAAAAGAAGTGCTGATTGTTTACGTTCCAAAAAATATTCAAAATTAGCAAAATTAGTGTGATATACTCTACTAACTTTTTTTTTTTAATAAAACCAAATTATTTTTTCTTTAGCTGAGTACAACATTTTTATACTTAAAAATGTATTGTTGCCACTATACATATTGAGAGCTCCATAACAGAAGGGCGTATGAACGAAAGTTATAAAAATTGAGTTTTTTTGCTTATAAACCACAAACAATACTGAGTATTTTTCCCTAATTAGGCGTATTTGTATTTGAAATGGTTACAATTTTATTAGCATTATTATGTTTGGCGTATCAACCATTTTACATGCACCGAACATCACATAGACGTAACTCTTAAAAAAAATTATAGTTTGGTTTATACGACCCTCTGTTATGAAACCCTCGATAAGTATT